AATAGACCTAGTCACAAACCATATTCATTATTATCAGCAATGTATTACAGAAACATAGGATTTATTTGATGCTTAGGTTTAAGATTTTACTATTCATTGGACCCGATATCGGCTACTATTGTCTCCATTTGTTTCCTATCAATGGTTACAAGTGTTTCACGTATTTATGGATTTGGATGCAAATTATTTATTAATCATGAAATTTTCACGTACGGGTCGTAACGATACGGGTAACCCAATGGGTAAAGTAGTAAACTCCCTCTCACTCACACTAATGTGTACTATATTTATGAGCCAAACATTTGAAAGATATTAAAAATGTTTGAGAGTTTGACTCCATGGACTTCATACAAAAATTTAATAATAAATTTTATATAATTTTAATTATTAATATATTGAACATTCGATTACAGCCTATCAATTGCATTACATTTTACTTTACCTCTTTAAGGAAAACAATTAAATACATTTTGGATATTCAACGTGTCAATCTTAAAAATATTATTTTATAACTTAAATATATTTTTGTCAAGAAAATTCAAAATTAAATAATTTATAATATCTTAAATTTTTAAACAATTTATTAAATTTAATTACACCATTTAATTATCTACATATAATATACATTAATATTACAGCGTATCGATTGCAAACACTTCTACTTTACTAACAATTTTAAGTTTTACAAAATATTTAGATGTCAAAATTAACACGTACAATAAAATTATAAAAATAGTACATGCTATATTATTATACACAAATAGCAAAGGAATGAGATCAATAAATTTACCAATGACCAAGGTATTGATCGTGGCCATTAAACCACCACTGAATGCGAATAAAGCACCCAGGCTATTATTCAATGTGATATACTGCTCCAATAGGTTGTACAACGAGGGAAGGGTAGATGAATATCCCGCTCCCATTAGCGCACATGCCTTACAAATAAATATCAAAATTAATTATGTTATCAATTATTAAATAGACATTTTAAACATTTACTAAAATAATCATTTGGTATGACTTTCCGCCAAATATGATAAACAGTGTGTTTCCGGTGATAATAAACACAAAGTTAAATAAAAGCATAAATTGTGGCCTTATTTTGATGGCACAGAAGATGGATATCCCGCGCATTGCTGTGAATGAGGCGCCAAATACTGACATTAATAACGCCGACTCCGGGCCTGAAATCAATATTTAAATTACGGTATTATTGATATTGTTTTTAAAACTGTAGTCATTAATGCAAAATATATTAAATTTTCAAAAAGTTTCATCTTACTTATTTTATTTGTTTATTTATTTAATATTAAATTAACTAATTAATAAACTATTGATGTATTATTGAGCTATTAATTACAGAATTATTGAGTTTACAAAATTATAATTCGTTTACAAATAAAATGTCTATTAATATGTCATTTTGTAG